CTCCCCCCCTCCAGCAGAGCTTCTGCTGCCTGGAGCTCACCCTGGAGCTGTGTCGGAATCTCTGCAAGGGCCACTTGCACCGGGAGGCTGAGGAGGTGCTGAAGGACATGAAGGGCTTCCTGGGGGCCACTGGCAGCTCTGCAAAATCTTTTGGGGACCTCCTGTCCCTCCTGGAGGCTGCAGTCCAGCTGAGCTGGGTGCTGGCCAAGGGCATTGGCCCCCCGGGACCACCCTTGTCCCAGGCTGCAGCAGTTCTCAGCGTGGCAGCAGGGACCTCAGAGCGGGTCCTCAGGGTGCTGGCTGAGACCTGCCAGCTCATTGTCTCCTCCCTCAGCGAGTACATGAAGAGGAACCATCACCAGCCCTTTGCCCGGGAGGATGTGCTCGGCCTCTGCGCCTTCACCAAGGGGCACTGTCGTGTCCTCCACCAGCTGCTGGAGAGGGTGAGGCTGGGAATGAAATGACATGGTCTGTCAGAGCCTTTCTGAGCAGCTGGAGGGTTTGTAACCCCCCTCCAGGCTCCATGTTCCCCTTAATCCATCGATGCACTGCCCCTATTGGCCGCACGGGACCACGCTTGTCCCAGGCTGCAGCAGTTCTCAGCGTGGCAGCAGGGACCTCAGAGCGGGTCCTCAGGGTGCTGGCTGAGACCTGCCAGCTCATTGTCTCCTCCCTCAGCGAGTACATGAAGAGGAACCATCACCAGCCCTTTGCCCGGGAGGATGTGCTCGGCCTCTGCGCCTTCACCAAGGGGCACTGTCGTGTCCTCCACCAGCTGCTGGAGAGGGTGAGGCTGGGAATGAAATGACATGGTCTGTCAGAGCCTTTCTGAGCAGCTGGAGGGTTTGTAACCCCCCTCCAGGCTCCATGTTCCCCTTAATCCATCGATGCACTGCCCCTCCCAGGTGTCCCCATCCTGAGCAGCAGTGCCTGGTGCTGCCTGGGCCCCACAAATGCTGCTTTTGTCCTTCCCCCCCTCCACAGGTTCCCCCTGAGGGTGTCACACAGAAGCTCTTGGTGAAGCAGCTGCTCTACCACAGCCTCCAGCTCTTCACCAGCCTGACCTGTGACACCTTCCAGTGCTCCAAGGTACCAGCAGCCAAGGGGATGGTCCCTGAGGGTGGGATGGGCAAGACCTTGTTGATGCTGGGCAGCTTCTCCCTTCAGAGGTGGTGTGTTGGTGGGGCTGGAAGGGGAGGCTGTGGATCCCTGCTGGACTCTTGCTGGCCACCTTCTCCCACAGGTGGTGGGCTGGCCAGGCCTGGAGCTGCTGGCAGCATCCTGCAGGAGGAGTGTGGAGTGGCTGCTGGAGGGGCTGGAGGGGCTCCCTGGGGCCAAGCGAGCCAAGTACCTCGATGTCACAGGTCAGTGCTGGGGCAGGTGGCACCCAGCCCAGCTCCTTGGGTCACACACGGTGACAGAGCTCAGTGCCCATGTCCCCAGGGAGCAGTGAAGGGCTTCTCTGCCACACAAAGCCTGTGGCTGGTGGGGCTGGGGCAGGTGGTGACAGTCCCTGGCCAGAGGAGGAGAGAGGGGTCGTTCTCTTCCTGTTGTGTCTTTGATACTTGGGTTTCACTCGTGGCAGCCTCGTGCACATTCAGGCTGGCCAGCATCTTCTACAACCAGAACCTTCACCAGGAGGCCACCTCCATCTGTGAGCCCTTCTGCTCAGCACTGCAGGCAGCAGAGGGATCCACGTGTCCAGAGATGTCCCAGGAATGGGTAAGTGCTTCTCTGGTGCTTCTGGCAGAAATGAGGCTCAGCTGAATGGTCTGATCCTGGTGCCAGGGGATCAAAAGAGGATGGGACCAGCTTTCCTCCCGGAACAATCCCAGTTCCCTGCTGTGAGGTCTTCCCTTTGCCAGGGAATAGAGGCTATGACATGGGAGTTTGTCCCCACGGGGAGCTGAGGCTGCTTCTCTTTCCTCTCCCTGCAGCTTCAGAGGTGCTTCAGGCTGCAGGTGGAAAGCAACCGCAAGCTGGGCCGGCTGGAGGGAGCCCTGGGGAGTGTGGTGAGGTGGCTGGAGGTGCTGCAGGGCCCTGGGGAGCTGCTGGCAGAGCCTGTGTCCCTCTGGGTCAGAGTCAAAGCAGATGCCACGAAACAGGGAGCTGAGGAGTCGCGGTTACGGTAAGACCTGGAAGGGCTGGCCCATAGGGGTGGGACATCTGGAGAGCTGGGGCTCCCAAGGTGGAAAAGAGAAGGCTCTGGGGAGACCTTAGAGCAGCTTCCAGTGCCTGAAGGGGCTCCAGGAAAGCTGGGGAGGGACTTTAACTAGAGAAGATGGTGAGAGGACAAGGGGTGATGGTTTTAAACTGAGAGAGGGGAGATGGAGGTGAGAGATTAGGAAGAAATTCTTCCCTCTCAGGTGGTGAGGAGCTGGGATGGGTTGCCCAGGGAGGTTGTTGATGAACAGTTTCCCACATCCATCCATGGAGGTTTTTAAGGCCAGGCTGGAGGAGGTTTTTGTGCAGCCTGGTCTGGTGGGAGGGGTCCCTGCTCATGGCAGGGGGGTTGGAATTGATGATCTTTAAGGTCCCTTCCAACATCAATGATTCTATGAAATGACACTTGTCCCCATGAGATGTTCCTGGCTCTGTCCAGAGCCCCCACACAGCTTCTGTTTCTCCCAGAACCCTGAAGGAAGGCTTGGAAGGGCATAGGCTGGACACAGACACCTTGGTGAATGTCCTCTTTGCTGAGCTGAAGGCCTACAAGGCTGTCCAAGGGGACACGGGGCAGGAACGCTACAACGTCCTCTGCGACCTCCTGGAGCTCTGCCCGGAGGGGAGTGGTCGCCTGCATGAGAGAGCCCTGGGCTTGATGGAGCTGGCCCAGGTCTTGTGCTACCACAGCTACTCCCAGCAGACAGACTGGTGGGTGGACACTGGCACACTGATATCACCCCTCTGTGTCCCTGAAAGTCCCCAAGGAGCATTTGAGGGTCCTCAGGGGAAGTTTTCAGGATCTGCAGTGTTACTGTTCTGGCTGTTTGCTCTGTTTGGGGTCCTGAAATGTATCTGTGCCTCCCCTTAAAATGCTCCAGGGGTTTTGGGGACCAAAGGCTGTTTCTGATCCCTCTCTTTGGCAGCTCTTCTCTGGACTCAATCCATGAAGCCTTGAGGCTGCTGGAGCTGGTGCCCAGGAGTGCCCAGAACCAGGACCAGCTCCTTGATGACCAGGCACAGGCTCTGCTCTGGCTCTTCATCTGCACCCTGGAGTCCAAGCTGGAGAAGGTGGGTGGGGGTGGCAGGGCAGGGCTTTGGGACACTGAAAAGTCCAAATCTGGGAACACCACAGGGCTCTGTGCTTGTCAGGTGCCCTCAGCCTTGCTGGCAATGCGCAGCTCTGCACTGGGGCCACCAAAGGACACAGAGACAAACCCTGGGGTGTCTCAAGGTGCATTCTCCCCCACTGCAGAGCATAGAGAGGGACCAGAGAGCCAAAGATCTGGGGCTGAAGAAACTGGAAGAGTTTGAGCCCAATGACCTCAACCACGAGGACAGGCTGCTGGAGGACCCGTTCCTGTACGACGGAGTCCGCTTCAACCTGGCAGCAGAGAGTGGTGAGGATGCTGGCGGGTTTGGCCCTTTAAGAAGAGGCTTTTTAGGAGGGCCTGGGTTTGGGTCAGGGTTTCTCAGACCCACGCTGTGCTCTCAGCTCTGCACCAAAGCCTGGATGATGCCTTCACCCTGTGGAAGCAGCTCCTGGGGACGCGGCGTGTCCCGGCCGTGCGCAGCGCCGAGCAGACCGCGGCCTCCCTACGCCTCCTGGCAGCTCTCTACAAGCTGATGGCCAAGGTGATGCTGCTGGGGAGGGGGCTGGTGGCACAGCAGCCTCTTTTGGCACACAGTCCCTCTAAGGTGGCCTCTGAGTGTAACTGGTTGGTGTTTCCCTGTTCCCAGCCCTTGCAAGCCATGGAGACCTACCTGCTGGTCAGAGACCTGTGCCGCACGCTCGGGGACAGCCTGGGCATGGCCAGTGCCCTGGGCCAGGTCACCAGGCTGCTCTTGCAGCTGGAGTGTCCCAGCTATGCCCAGGTAAGTCTAGGGAGGGAAGGGGCTGCAGGGCTTGCTCAGCCCTTCCCTGAGCCTGCAGCCTTGATGGTGACGTGTTGGTTTCCAGCTCTTCCTAGAGGAGATGGAGTCCTGCCTGCAGGAGGCTGACAGCAGTGACAGCTCCTTCTTGCTGCAGCAGCAAACCTGCCTCCTGCTCCGCAGCCAGCTCTGCTGCTCCAACCACCAGGTGAGGCCCCTAAAGACCCTCTTCTAAATCAGAAGGGGTGTCAGAGGGGCTGCAGCAGCTGTCATTACCTCTCATGAGGAACCTTGAGCATGGGGATGCTCTGAACCACAAATAGTGACTCTTGCTCTGCAGCTTGAAGAGGGGCTCACTCTGTTGCTGCAAGTGCTCCAGAACCTGCCTCATCAGAAAACCACCAAGGTCTGGTACGTGCTGCGAGCCCATGTGCTTCAGCTGGTGACTGTCTACCTGAGCCTGCCCCCTGCCTGCCTCTCCCTGGAGCTTCGGCAGCAGCTCTTTGACCAAGGTGAGTTGCTGGGATGGTTAAAACCTTCCTGGGGTGCACCAGCCTGGCAGGGGTCATGGATGAAACGGAGTCATGGAATGGTTTGGGTTGGAAGGGATCTGAAAGACCATCTAGATCCAACCCCCCTGCATGGGCAGGGACACCTCCCACCAGCCCAGGCTGCTCCAAGCCCCATCCAGCCTGCCCTTCAACACCCCCAGGGATGGGGCAGCCACAGCTTCCCTGGGCAACCTGTTCCAATGTCTCACCACCCTCACAGGAAGGAACATTTTCCCTAATGTCCAACCTGAATCTCCACTCTTTAACCTTCAGACTATTGCCCCTTGTCCTCTTACTACACACGTGTAAAAAGCCCTATCCCAGCTTTCTTGTAGGTCCCCTTCAGACACTGGGAAGTTGCTCTGAGGTCACCCTGGAGCCTTCTCTTCTCCAGGCTGAAATGTTTTTCAGATGAGATTTGCCCTGCAAATGTTTGACTTCTGAGTTTCTCCAAACCAGCCTGTTTGGGGTGATGAGAGGGAATTTGCTGCATGCTAGGAGGGGTCTTGGTGGGTGCTGATCCCCACAACTGCCCTCACACAGGGTGGCAGATGCCTGAGATGGCTCTCAGTGAAGCCCAGAAGCTTTTCCGCAGTGTCATCCTCCTGCTGAAGGGCAGTGACATCCTGGGCTGCCGGGCAGGGGTGTCTGATGTCCAGTTTGTGGATTGTGGTGAGCTCATGGGGACTAGAACCCCCTGGAATCCCCTCTGCCCCTCTGGAAAGTGTCAGGCTCTTTGCCTGCCACTCTGGGAGGAGCAGCTTGGGTCACCTTCTTGTCCTCCCTCCCAGGGGACAACCTGCTGCTGAAGTGGCAAGTGCTGGCAGACATGTTGGGCTGCTTGGAGCACCTGGTGGCTCTTCTCAGCAGGTTGGAGATGGTGTCTAAGGCTAAAGCCTTCTGCTTGGAGGCCATCAAGCTGGCCCAGAAACTACAAAGCACCCGTTGGTGAGTTGTCCATGCAAGTGGGGGACAGCCTGGCCCTGAGCTTGGGGGATGCTTGATCAGTGCTGAGCTGCCTTGCAGCCCCAGGGGGCTTCAGGTGTTCCTGTCCCTTGGAGGGGACTGGTCCTGACTGGGAGGGTTTGGCACCTTCTCAGCTTGGTCTGGGACAAGCAGCTGCTCTGAGGGGTGTTAACCCATGAATCCAGCTCACCAGGTTGGATGTGAGTTTGTTCCTCTGGGGATGGAGTAGGGGCTGTTGCTGGGGTGGCTCTGAGGGCTGCCTTTCCATCTGCCCCCCAGGTTGGCTTCCTTCTTGGTGCTGAAGGCCCAACTAGAGCTGCAGCAGAGTGACCTGGAGCTGAGTAACTTCAGCCTGGAGCATGTTCTCTTCCTCCTGGAGTCTAACACTGGTGGGTCCCTGCTCTGGACTTGGAGGGGAATGGGGGGCTGAGATGACCCCCAAGCCCAGGCAGTGCCAGGGGTGACTCCTTGTCCTGCCTGTGCAGGTGCTGCTGGAGCAGCCAATCCCCTGGCCCTCCCAGGAGGGTGCAGGGGTGGGGGGGTGACTCTGAGCCACGTTTGGGCTCATCAAGTGCCTCCTCCAGCAGCTAAAGGCTTCGCTGGTGGAAGTGTTGGATCCAGCCCCTCACACCCTTCCTGGGCTGGCTCTGATGGGAGCTGGGGGGCCGAAATCACCCTCCCTTCCACCCACAGAGCTTAAGGACAGCAAGAAGCAGAAGGACCATACGAAGATCCAGCCCAAGAAGGGCAAACTCGAGGGCAAGAAGCCACGGCCCCCCATCTCTGAGCCCCCTGGGGAAGAGGAGTGTTTCCTGCAGGGCCCGGCACTGGAGCTGGTGGCCCCGGCGCGCGGGCTGGGGAGGGCGGACGCGCTCGGCGCCTCCCCGGAGCTGAAGCCCGTGAGGAGGAAGAGGCTGGGCTTCCTCACCCACCCAGCCTCCCGCCCCTGCTGCCTCTG